TAGGACAGGACAGCACTGCGCCGTGTCCTCGGGCACCCGGTAGAGACAGGAGGAGGGGGCTGGGAAGGGGTGGGGTCTTACTTGGGATGGGGCTAGGGTGGCCATGGGTCACCCAGTGTGGCAGACGCGCTGCGGGCTGCTGAGCTGCCCTGGAAAGCGTGGTCATGGCATGTTCCACAGTAAGTTTACAGCAGTAAAAAACTTGCCAAAGGAAGAAAATAACAAGCCAGCCTCCACCCCCACCCTCCTGGGCCACCCTCCCCTGCTATGGGAATGTCTTTGGGAAGCTCTGCCGCCTGTGTGGGGCCTGTGTGGGGTGGGAGCAGTACTCGGATACCCAACCTGTTTTCTTCCCATTGAGGGCGTGACCTCCGCGCCTGCCTGGCTGCACCCCTCTTGGCGGCAGGAGCCCCCCCCCGGGGAGTGGGGCGGAGTTACACAACCCACAGGGGAGGCTTTCCAGTGGCCCGGGCGGTGCCAGCTTTCCGGCGGCAGCCGTGGCAGGTAGAGGCGCCCGCCGGGTCGGCTGTGTCCAGGCAGAGAGAGGTGCCGTGGTGTGGCGCCTGGCATGGCTCGGATTCCCAAGGGGTGGGGACCAGAGCTCACGGGGCCGCGAAGGGGACCTGCCAGCTCCTGCCCGCCTGGCCCGGGGAAAGGGTGGGGGCGGCGTAGGGGGAGCTGCCGCCAGCCGGGGTGACCCTCAGGCTGACACCCGAGCTGGCGTCTCCGGTAACCCACTTATCTGTGGGGCGGCCTCGGTGTGGCAGCCTCAGACGGGAGGTGCCCGGCCAAGTCCTATCAGGGGATTTAGCAGGGAAAGTGGAGCTGGGCTGGGGCGAGGGGGTACGGGAAGATGACACGGCATGGCAGGGACCCAACGACGCACGATTGCCCCTGACCTGGGCGAGGCTCCCCGGACCAGACGGCAGAGCCTGGCAGGGTCCTGGTGACGTGCTATTGCCCCTGGCCTGGGTGAGGCTCCCTGAACCAGACGACACAGCCGGGCAGGGTCGCGGTGACGCACAATTGCTCCTGACCTGGGCGAGGCTCCCCGGCCCAGAAACAAAGGGACAGAGCCCCCCGCTCTGTGGCCTGCGCTGTGACCACGCCTGCGCTCCTGCACGCCCTCCTCCCATGGTGGATACAGAGCCTGCTGGCTGTAGCCTGCTGAATGCCTCCCGGGTGCCCACAGGCTGGCAGAACACAAGGATGACAAGACATGGCTTTTGCCCACAATGTCAGGGACACAAGGCTCAGATGAGAAAAGTACAAACTCGGGTCTGGGAGACCCCATGAAGGAAACACAGTAAAACGGTAAAGGGCTGGGGGAAGGGGAGGTCCCGGGCTGGGAGATCAGGGAAGGCTTCCTGGAGCAGGCGGGCGGACCAGGAGGAAGAGAGCACCTGCCAGTCCCCAACCCACTCCAGCAGGATGCCCTCATGGCTCCCACTGCATCACGGGGGTGGAACTGCAGGGCAGGGCAGAAGTAAGGGCAGCCTCTGGGAGCCTCCGGTGTGCGAGGCGACCTTGGCCAGGTCCTCTTCGGCTTCTCCCCAGGGCCCCTGTGCGACACTTCCCCAGCCACCACAGCCCAGCACGGAGAAGGGCAGAGATATCTGAGGGGCTCCAGGTCCCCGTCTGGGTAGGCGACGCCCCTGTCGGTGGGGTCCACGGCCTCAGCTCGGTGAGAAATCCCATCCCAAGAAAGGAGGCTTGGGACCGGCACACATGTTCCAGGAGGCCTGCAACCCAATGTGCAATGCCGCGGGCCAGCCCTGCTGTCCCCCTCAACCCCCCACGCCCTGATGACAGAGGCTGGTTCTGCTGTGCCCCCCTGAACCCCCCATGCCTCTGATGACAGAGGCTGGTCCTGTTGCCCTGCGGAACCCCTACCACATGCAAGGCATATAGCAGGCGCTCGTAAGTGTTGATAAGGGCAAGTGAGCTGAGACTACACGTAGGTCTATACATGCAAGGCATACAGCAGGCGCTCACAGGTGCTGAGATGGGCAAGTGAGCTGAAACCACAGACAGATCTACCACAGTGTGTGGCATACAGCAGGTGCTCACCTGGGTATGCAGATGTAAGCGGGTCTGGGACGAGGCAGAGAGTGTGAGGAGACATAGCCAGCGAGGAGGGCAGCTCACGTGGATCCCGTGGACGGGGAGGGGGTGTGAGGCATCTCTCAGGGCCCCTCACTGAGGCTGGCAGCCTCGTCAAGCTCCCCCATCCATGGACTTCGGGAGAGTTCTGCCCTGAGACCCCCTTGACTCACACACACCAAGCTCCCCCGTCTATAAACCTGGGGAGGGTCCCACTGAGACCCTCTCGACTCACACACACCTAGCTCTCCTGTCTACAAACCTGGGGAGGCGCCCTGTTATGATATCGCTCAACTCACACGTGGAAGTGCTCAGCAGAGTTGCAAAGCCCCTCCCACCTCGAGACCGTGGGCTCCAGCCCTCCCTTTCGTGAGCATTTACTGAGCACCTACTGTGTACCGGTCAGTGCCAGGAGCTGGGGACGGGTGCTAACCTGGCCGGGACTCCCGCTCTGGAGAAGTTTGCACCTTGAAGCTGGCTGGAGTGCCCAGGGCCGATGTGAGTTCCCCTTGTCCTGGTATGGGGGACTTCAGATTTCCCGGAAGTCGTGAGAGAGGAGGCGTCCCCCCTGGGAAGAGGGACAGAGGATGGGCACGGGGGCTGGAGGAGGCGGCATGCCATCATAGTTGCGGGTTCACCTAGCTCAAGACTCGCTGACAGAGGCCGGGCCAGCACACTGCAAGGGCCCATTGGGCCAGGGTCACCCGCAGAGATTACCAGAGTCACCCTGCTGGACCTTCAGGCACTAAGGGCCCAACGCCACATGCAGGGATGGCTGGCCGGAGCTTCTGCAGAGCTGTCAGCACTGCAATTCCAGGCCTTTTTACGAGGCCGCCTTCTAAAGGTGCCAAAGGGAAATGTATTTGGGGCCCGGGTCCCATGCCAGACCCTGGTCCTTAGGTGTCTTTCACAGCAGCCCTACTGTGCCGCTGACCCAGTGGACGTGGGTTTTTGTATTTTTCAGAAGGTGCAGCACCCTTGTGTTGTTGGCGACGGTTGCCAGGGAGCCAGGTCAGGGACTGGCGCTGGTGCCGGTGCTAATAATACCCTGCCCTGTACTGCTTGGGCAGACATCTCCCAGCTAAATGGGGCCACGTCGCAGCAGGGGAGGCCAGATGTGGGGCCTGTCCCCAGACCACACTGATGACGGGATGGCATGGGGTGGGGGCCTTGGGCCTCCTTCCCAGGATTCCAGAGGTCCCTGGAAAGAGGCACCCACATCTTCACCCACCCCCGTCATCATACCACAGTCCCCGACGAGGACCGGGGAAACACATGGCTGCTCCTTTGACCCGGGCCGGTGGCCACGACCTCCCGGGAGTCGGAAGCCATTGTCACATGTCGTCTAGTCAGAGGTCTCAAGCAGGGAGGAGCCGGGTAATGGTGGGCAGGGGTGGGGGCACGGCCCTTCATCCACAGTGCGGTGGGCGGCCCAGCCTTGGGCATGGCGGCAGCAGGGGGGAGAGTGAGACCCTCTTCCTGTAACACGTGATGGCTGTTCTGACAAACATCTGAGGCCCGCCAAAGGAGACGGGAAGGAGGTGTGGATAGAGAGGACGGGACACGGCGGGGACGGGAGCTCTCGCCGCACAGGGAGGAAGCTCAGGGGATGCCGGGGACATGCCGGCCTCGGGGCTCCCAGCCCCAGTCAGGCCCTGTGAGGCTTCCCGAGAGGCTGGAGCAGGGCCACGGCCCCTCTTAGGGCCGGCATCTCCAGGACTGACACCCAGGCACTCATGGGCGAGGCTGCGCTGACCACGCTGGGCAGAAAAGGCTCCGGAGCCCCGCGGAGTCCCGGGCCCCCCGTCCCGTGTGCCCGTCTGCCCCGGGCTGGCTGGTTTGTCCACAAGGCTCCCCCCACAGGCCCAGCTTTGAAAGCCAGAGCCAACGCCGGACCCAGGGCCGCCCAGCCCCAGCTCTCTGTGCTGGGGGTCCGTGGCTGATGGGCATCTCCCTGCTCAGACTCCCTGAGATATTCCGGCCTGCGAGGAACACGCGACGTGCAAATCCCTCAGGTAATGCGAGAATTCGTCACCAGGGGAGTGCAGGCGTCCAGGACCAGGAACCTGATCCCGGAGCCCGAGGGAGGCAGTGGTGCCTGGGGAGGGCTCGGGTTGCAGGAGCGAGACTGGCAGGGCAGGCGGCGGCCAGTGGCCCCATGTGGACAGCCCTGCACAAGGTCTCCAGCTTCAGGGAAGCAACGGCAGAGCGGCTCAGCGGTTAGGGCGGGGTGACGCCTGCTCTCCGGATACAGCAGTGACCTCAGAAGCCCGTGGCTTCTGACCGGTCCTACAGTTACCCTAGACGCCCGTCTCCCTGGAGAAGCTCTCGTGGTCAGAAGTGTAGCAGGAGAGGCCAAGACGAGACAGCCTGGCGTCGCCACCTGCCCTCTGCCTACAGTGCTAGCTGACAGATTGTCCGTCTCCTCCCGGATGGCTAGCCCAGACCCAGCTCAGGGCAGCGAGGGCCCCTGCAGGACCGCTGAGGTCGGAAGGCCCAGCCGGGTGGACTCCTGTGTCTACCGTGAGCTCACATCTGCTCAGGTGTGGAGAGGCCATGGCAGAGCCGGCGCAGACCAGAGCTAGTCCTTCCTGACCTTGGCCCGTGGTAACCAGAGCCCGGAGCATGCAGACACCAAATCCACTGTCCCAGGCACGCGATGGCCACCTGACCCATGAGCCCGCCCCAGCCGGCAACAACCACCTGGCCTGCGATGCCCACCTGGCCCAGGACGCCTGCCTGGCCCGTGATGCCCACCTGGCCTGCGACACCCACCCCTGCCTGTGATGCCCACCCAGCCTGTGATGTCTGCTCCGGCCCAGGACGCCCGCCTGTCCTCGGTCTCTGGGAAGGGTGACCCGGGAGGGCCCGACCACGTCCCCCTGCGGCACCCTCACCTGCAGCATGTTGAGCAGCAGACTCCGGAAGGTGGTGCCCTCCACCATGAAGAGCGCCATCTTGTCACAGAGCTTTGCGGCTGTGAGCGCGAAGCTGCGGTCCGACACAGCCTTGTGGTAGATGGTGCGCACGATCTCGCCCAGCGTCTCCTCGGAGTTGGCGGAGTTCTGAGCCTCCTCCATGAAGCGGCTCAGTTGGGCGTCCACATCGCTACCGCTGTGGCGCATGCTGTTCAGGATGGCCAGCAGCCGGTCCATCTTGCTGGGCTGCGGGGCAGGCGGCTCCACGGCCAAGTCCTCCTGCAGTGGGCATGGTGGACGCCTCAGGGAGCCGGGAAAGCCGCCCCGGAAGAGGGCCCCACCCGGACCACCCCCAGCTCCCACCGACCTTCCCGCTCAGGGCAGCCTGGGCTGGCGCTGGGATCCAGCCACCACCAGAACTCCCCGTGTGGGGACACTTCTGTTCACTGACCCATCCTGCAACGTCTCAGCCTAGAGATGTCACCTCATCTTCACGACCCCCAGTGCTTAGGAAAGCAGACAAGAGGCCGGGCCGAGGGGAACAGAGGGCTAGATGACTAGGTCAGGAAGGCTCATGGACCCCACGGATCTGGGATGGGGCTGGCGGGGCCCAGGGTGGCTGCGGGTCCCCACATGTCCGGCTCTGAGTGCCTGGGCTGCTGCTGTTCTGAGGGCACGGGGTCCCAGTGGACACAGGCCTGGCTCTGCGTGCGGCCTCCCACATGCAGGTGACCACACCGAAGATTCCTCCATGGGCCAGTCAACAGCTGGTGCTTCCGGGAAGGAAATTTCAGAAAAAGAGCCCCGTGGGCTGGACTTGGTGACTCAGTCTGTCATCCTAGCACTTTGGGAGGCCAAGGCGAGTGGATTGCCTGAGCCTGCAGGTTCAAGACCAGCCCAGGCACCTTGGTGAGACCTCGTCTCTACAATAAAATCAAAATTTTAGCCAGGCATTGTAGTATGTTCCTGTAGTTCTGGCTACTTGGAAAGCTGAGGTGGAAGGATTGGATTGCCAGAGCCCTGCGGGTTGACACTGGGGT